TCCAGGATTTTTCCCAGCTTTCTTTGATTGTTCCTTTCACTTTCCTTTATCCATTCCACAAACATTTACAGACAGCCTACTGTGTGCCAGGCCTGGACTAGATTCCAGAGATACAGAGCAATACACGAGCTCATGAGGAAGTCTGAGAAACAGACACGTAAATACTAGACTGTAACGCAGAGTGATGACTAAACATTCGCATTCACAAGTATTCAGTGAGCACCTACTATGTGCCAAGCCTGTGCCCAGGGACACAGAAGTGGAAAATACAGACAAGATCTCTACTTTTTCGCAGTTTACATTCTAATGGAGGGAGACAAGAATACTCAAACAAGATAATCGCGGATTGTGGCAAGTACTCTAAGGAAAATAAACACAACGGTGAATTAAAGAGAGAGACATTGAGACAGGCCATTTTAGAAAGGGTGGCCCAGGAAAGCTTCTTAGAGCAGGTGATGTTTGAGCTGGCTTAAAGGATGAGCAAAATGCTGGGAAAAAGCACTCCAGGAAGAGTGAATAATCAGCGCAGGATCTTGAGTCAGGAAAGGATGGGTGACTGGAAAGAAGGGAGGGGGGAGAGAAGTGGGAAAGAGCCGGATCATACAGGCTCGCCGAGCTGGAGTTAATACTAAGTGCAGTAGGAAGCCACTGGAGGGTTTTAAGCAAGAGAATGACATAATCTGAATTAAGATTTTATAAGATCACTCTGGCTGCTGTGTGTAGGATGGACGGTTAGGCGTCTGTTGCAGTAATACAGACAAGAAATCAATGACTTGAAATTAAGGTGGTGGCAGTAGAGAAGAGAGGGAAATAGACTGGAGATATATTTTGGAAGCGGAGCTGACAGGGCATGCAAATGTATTGGAGAAGGGGTCCAGGATGAGGGAAAAGGAAAAAACAAGAACAGTGCTTGGGTTTTTGGTACGGGCAATTGGACGGATGGTGGAGCTATTTCCTGAGATGGGGAATGCTGGGGAGGAACAGATTTGTGTGACTGGCAATCTTGAGATGCCTATTAGACATCTGAGTTTATATTGCAAGTAGGCAGATGGAGAGTCTGCACTGGAGGTATAAATTTGGGTGGAATATAAAGCTTTGGGGCTGGATAATAAGGCCTAGGGAAGGGTAGTGACCAAGCCAACATTTAGGACTTTATGGGAGCCTGGAGGAGGGAGCAACTGACTAGGGGAGTCAGAGAAAGTGTCATAGAGGAGATAATGGTTAAACTGAGTCTTAAAAGATGAGCAGGGGCCGGCCCGGTGGCGCACTGAGATAGTGCGCCGCTTGGGAAGCGCGGCGGTGCTCCCGCCGAGGGTTCGGATCCCACATACAGACCGGTTCCCGCTCACTGGCTGAGCGAGGTGCGGGAGCAACACCGAGGGTTGCGATCCCGTTGCCGGTCCTGGTCCGGTACGGGGGCGACACTGAGGGTTGCGATCTGTTGCCGGACACGGAAAAAAAAAAAAAAAAAAATAGATGAGCAGGAGTTTGCCAGAGGACATAAAGGGACATAATCTGGGAAAAGGGAATGACGTGCAATGACATGTTCAAAGGCCTAGGGTCCAGTAATAGTGCGAGCCCTGTCTGTTTCACTGCTGTAACCCTAGGGCCTAGCACACAGTACACGTTCAATTAATATTTGCTGAATGAGTGGTATGTTTAACAACTTGCAGGCAGCTTGATAAAGCTGAAGAAAAAGTTGGCGGTGGTTGTAGGGAGAGGTAGTGAGAGATGTAGCTCTAGTGTGGAAGGTTAGACTAGACTATATCACCAAGACAGCATCTGCCTGGAGATGGAGAGGGAGGAATCATGAAGATTCACTGATTGAGGGACAGACATGGTCAAATATGCACTTTAAAAAGTCTTCAGGCTATGGTGTGGAAAATGAGCAGGAGTGAGGTAGGGGGCCAGACTGAAGGTAAGGAGACCCCTTTCGAGACTGTAGGGGGTGACAAGGCCTCAGTGAGATGCTCCCTGGAACTCAGCACCAAGGTTCCCTGCTTGGGCAAAGTAGCCTGCACCCCACAGTTGATCCAGGGTAGTGATTGAGACTTCTAGGGACCACTGACTTTGAACAAGGAGGGTGGCCTGGAACCAAGAAGCCCTCCAGTTTCCTGGGCAGAGGGGTTGTTAACAATATCTGACATAAAGTTTGCCTGTCAAACCCTGCAGACCTGGGGGCTTTGGTATGAATTAAATATTATTTAAGAAATAAAGAAATGGCTATTCCTTGCACGCCCAGACCCAATAATACAAGCACTTGAGAAAATGAGTGTGCCAGTCCCCAGACAGAGAACAAGGCACACAGAGGGGCCCTGCAGGGTAGGGAGGGTGGGGTGCCTGAGTTCTGTTTTGGATTTGCTGACTCCACCTGGATATCCTGGGACATCCAGGTAGAGGTCGAGCAGCGGGTCGGTGTGGGTTTAGCGTCTTAAACTTGCAGGCCATGGGAGTAGACAGGATGGCAGGGGAGGCTGTGCCAGGCGGGGAGGATGAAGCGATATGCAGAGGCGGCGGAGACAGCGCTTCTCCCTTCCCAGACCGGCTCTGTCCCTCCAGCCTCTCACCGCCCAGCCCGCGGGGGGCTGCTTAACGCGAGGCCCGGCGGGGGGCGCGTTGGAAGGAGGCTCCCCCGAGCAGCAAGAGACCCCGAAGCAGGTCCTTCCCCCAGTTTCCATAGCTCACTCAGCAGGGCAGAAAACGCGGAGCTGAACCCCGGCCCTGGGAAATCAGCAGCAGCGGAAAACCGAGCTGTTTCAGCGCGACAGCGGCAGCCCGCGGCCCCCGGGGCGGTGGCGGGCCGCAGACCCCCGCCCCCGCCTTCATTCCCCTGGGCGGGAGAGCGCGCAGGGGAGGGTTGAGGGACGTCCCCTAGACCCCCGAGAATCCCGTCTGGGGTCTCCTCCTGCCGCCCCCGCTTCGGCACCCTGCAAGCCCCCTCGGACCCAGCCCCCCGCCCGCCCGGCTCCGCCCCGGGACCCCTCCTCCTCCTTCCCCGGCTCGGCAGCCCGGTACCGTCTCCCGGGGAGATGGTCTCGATCTCCACGCCCATC